CCCGGGGGGGGGGGGGGGGGGGGGGTTCGAGCACGAAATGCCCCAAGAGCTAGAGCATGGATAAAGTCCGGAAACAGGACCGGTGTCGATACGAGTGGCGATACAGGAGCTACCAGGGTACATCGGGATATTCTCTGGATGCCGCAGGGAATCTTGACCCGTCAAGCCTTTTCTTTTTTAAAAAAAAAGAATAATATGCCGTGCCTGTTGTGTAAACTAGGGAAGCTAGCCATGTTTCGGGGAATAGATCTGGGTGTTCTGCAAAGTTGGTTTTTTTATATAGGACATCACGTATCGAGGACGTCTTTCAAATCTAGCTATGCTCTTCTCCTTTGACTCTCTGGTGCAGTGATGTCTCAACTCGAATCACAATCAGGCTCTGCCTTGGGGGCGTATTCAGAAAATCAAACGGTTGTGGTACAAGAACAGCCCCGTACTGCAACGCCGGATGGAGGCTACGGCTGGATCGTGACCCTCTGCGTTGCAGTCGTCAATGCCCATTCGTGGGGCGTCAACGCCGCATACTCGGTGTTCCTGGCTTATTATCTAAAAAACGACACGTTTCCGGGCGTCGGGCCCCTCGAGTATGCGTTGGTCGGATCCTTGAGCATCGGAACCACTCTTTTACTCTCTCCACTGGTGACTATGTTTGTTCGAGCCGTCGGGACACGGCCTACCATGGTCTGCGGTGCTCTCCTACAGTCAGTGAGCCTCATATGCGCGAGCATATCGACTGCCTTTTGGCAGCTTTTGCTGTCCCAGGGTGCCTTCTTCGGCGTCGGAATGGGGTTATTGTTTCTTCCATCGTACGGTATCGTTTCCCAATGGTTCACCAAGCGACGTGCACTGGCCAATGGGGCGGCGATCGCAGGAGCTGGTCTTGGAGGCCTCACATATTCCCTGAGCGCATCGGCGATGATTGGGAGCCGGGGTCTGTCCTGGACCCTTCGAAATTTTAGCATCATTACCTTTGTGGTCAATACAACAGCCATTTTACTCATCAAAACCCGGTACGAATCAATTGGTTCACGGCAACTGGCCTTTGACTTTACTCTTCTCAAACGAATGGAATACATCGCTTTGCTGGTCTTTGGCTCTTTGAGTATGCTTGGTTATTTCGTTCTGGTCTTCACCCTCGCCAACTATGCGAATGAGATCGGGCTTGACGACTCTCAAGCGGCAGTCATTCCGGCTCTCTTTATGCTAGGCCAGGCACTCGGGCGTCCACTCATTGGACACTTCGCCGACAGTTTTGGGCGTTTCAATCTGGCCACATTGATGACCTTGTTGACCGGCGTCTTTGCGTTGTCAATTTGGATCAACGCCAAAACTTACGGATTACTGATCTTCTTTGCTCTTGTGCAGGGCACCGTGGGTGGTGTCTTTTGGGTACTCGCTGCGCCGGTCATGGCTGAGATCATTGGTATCGAAAATCTACCCTCGGGACTGAGTATCTTCTGGGTTGTGCTGGCTATTCCGTCGATTGCAAGTGCGCCAATCGTCCTACAGATTGTGGCCAAGAGCGGGTCGTATGTCTGCGCACAGATCTTCACAGGAGTTGTCTTCGTTGTTGCTGGTCTCTGCATGGGCCTTCTTCGACGTTGGCAGATTAGCCAAAATGCTAAGCAGAGGAGTGAAAGGACCTTGGACCGAACTGACGCCGTAGCAGAGGAAGCACAGCGTGGACATCCCAAAAGGTTTGTCCGTGCCTGCTTTCGGACGCAAATTATCTGATTGAGACGTGCTCGAGTAAAATAATTGCCCTGTCCTGGGTCACTATTCATGTATTAACGCCATCTTCTAAATGAATATATTTCCACACATTCGTAGTCTTTCTTAAGGGTCAACTGCTCGTGGTATCGAATGGAGAGATGCTGTACGTACGTAGTATTCTCTCCGGGTTACCTCAAAGAATAAAATAACACGCCCTGAAAGGATGTGCTAAATCTGCGCATTGTCCACTTGTTCCCTCATCCTTCGGAGAGACTGTCACAATGGCTTCCCAAGCTGACACCAGTTGAGGACATTTGCCACCAAGGATGCAAAAGAGGGCCAATGTAGTAAAATTATGGAATCCTGTAAAGGGGGTGGCAGGCCAGCAGCATCACTAATATATATGTCTATACCAGATTCAAAGCCCTCGTGACCACGGTACAATCGTTGCTTCCCAACCAAGGGAGTTCAATTCGATTCAGAATGGGACGTTGCACTTGTGTACCTAAGCTGCAACCAACAATGGTGCATACATTACCACTTACCTGGTACCCTTGATCCGCAAATGCTGCAAGATTAGCAGCCCCTAGTAATAGTATTTGCTCAGTGCAACGGGTTGGAAAACCAGGAAACAACGTGTTTGTCATGTAAGGCACCTAGGGAAGCACACTCCTCCTCGCCTCTGACAAGCATCCGCCCAATTTGCCTCGACTTCGAAGTAGAATACGTGTGAGCAGAGCACCTGACGGATACTTCTCATCCATTTTCAGGCTTGGGTGCCCACATCTTCAATCACGGCCGTTCGTGGTCCCTCCTTCTCTGAACTTGCGTCGTCGACCTGCTTCGGGCCCATTCCGGGAATAATCTCCTCGATAGTCTCAAGAGCAATGTGAGCGCTATCGAGCTCCTTCTGGTAAACGATGACCAGGTCGTGATCCCCGAAAATGGCCGCGACTTCTTCCAACGGCTTGTGCAGGGTGTCGGGGAAGATGAAAAAGGCACAGAACGCTCCCAGAGCCGAAAAGAGGATAAAGAAGATATAGTACTTCCAACCGATGTGCGCGAAAGCTGTAGGTGCTGCTTGAAGCCACACTCTAGAGAAATCTAGTGTCAGCACGTCGATATCTCACAAGAAAGAGGCTCTGGGCATATACACTTACATATTGATCCCGCTGTAAAAAGCGACACAAAGCGTGTAACCCTTCGCCCTCATATGCGTCGGCCAGATCTCCGAGTGATAGAAGAACTCGGGTCCATCCAGACAAAGTTCAAAAAAGACCACATAGAGGAAGAAAGCAAAGACGGCGGCGCCCAGACCGGCCTTGTTGTCAGAGTTTAGAAAGTTTGCAGTCAACGCTGTTTCGAGGATGACGGCGATGCCGCAGCCGCAAAAGCCAACGCCGATGAGATAGTTCCGCTTGACGCGGTCGACGTAGGTCATGGCAATGATGCTGAAACACAGAGCTGTTGCAGTGTAGCCGGTTTGAAAGAGCAGTGTCTGAAGGTTATCGTATCCCAGTTTTGCGTACAAACTGACGCCGTAGTCTACAAAGCTTAGCACATGCATAAAAGGGGAGGAGAAGGGGGGAAGGTGGTAAGGCAGTACTTTGTATGGTTAGAACACCCGAGCTCATGACACAGACCATTAAGATGATGGAGATGAAAGCTCGCTTTCGGTAAGAGGGCCTGGTGAAGATCTCTTTGTACCCCGTGTTCAGGGAAGCGTCGAACTTGATCTGTCGTTGCATTTGATAGTACTCGCGTTTCGCAAACTCATTGTGAGGGTCCCTAGGATCCGAATGTAATCGAGCAATGATTGCCCATGCCTCCTCGTATCTGTCTTTGAGAAGAAGATATCTCGGAGATTCTGGTATCCAATAGATCCCACAACAGAGGATCAATGGGGGAATCATTGTCAGAGCCATTGGGCCCCTCCAGGCATCTTTCGAATCAAAAAAGTAGAAGCCGACCCCAACATATCCAGTGAGCGTGTAGCTGTCATACCAGACGTCAGAGCAAAGCAAATGGTTTGGTCGGCCACCATGCACTGGGCAGACTCACCCGACGTTGATCATGATGGGAGCAATGTCGCTGAGCATGCCGCGATGTGCCGGTGGAACGCTACGCATATCCAGTCAGCTCGGAGATATAAGTGGCTGGGAATCTGTTGTACGTACATTTCTGCAATCCACATTGGGACGGCGGCCACCAATTGAAACCCTCTGGTTGCCAGTCAGAACTGGTGTTCATTGACGAAACGAGAACAGGAGCTTACCCCCAGCCGGCGAAGAACCGAAAGACGATGAACATAGCGGGGTTCACAGATCCAGTGATCAATGCTTGAGAGACGAGAACAAAAGTTGAGCCGACAAAGATGTCCCACTTGCGTCCATATCTGTCAGCTATCAAGCCATGGCAGACGGCGCCGAAGATGCCTCCGGCGTAGTAGAGACTGTTCATGGCACCAGTCAAGCTGGCCATGTTGGAGTCATTGAGACCCATGGCCACAAAAAAGGAAGGCTGTCCCAGCGTGGTACTGATGATGGAGGCTGAAGTGCCATAGGAACACGTGCCCAGTGACACGAAGAGGATGATGAGGACGGTGTAGAACTTGAAATGACGGCGGCGCTCGAAGACCCCCGCATCGGTGTTGAGCACAGTCATGGCGTTCACAAACTCCAGTCAACCTCTTTGGTAGGGAGAATATCTAATAAGTGCAGGAGTGGAAGAGGGGTCTGAGAGATTGAGACGGCAGGGTTGACCAGGGATCGAAGGCAGGTCGAGACCTCTCACATTTATATTCACCGCTTCCCCCCGAAGGCACCGTATCAGGCCAACCCCAGATGCCCAGCCTCTCTGAGGATAGAGCAATCTGGGGTAAGCCCCAGAAAAGAGGTCGGCATCTCGCGCTGTCTGGGGAACGAGCTTGCACCGGAGTGTGAATGGAGAGGAGGCGGCGTCGCGGAATTTGATATGCCCTTTTTCCGTCTCTCGGCCCGCGTCTGGCCACGCTTCCGATATTCTCTGGGGATCCTCTCTCCTTGGTATAGAGCTGAAAACCTCTCCTGTTCTGGCGTGAGTGCTGGTGTCCTTCGTCACAGTACTGCTATCGGCTACATGGCACGGTACCGCCCCATCCTTGCCGAGTTTATCCAGACTCATTCGCTCGCCTCCCTTCTCATGCCGCTCATTTCGAGCGGCCTGGATGTTCGTGGGAGGAGCTCTATCTTTCTCGCGGAGCTCTTGACACATGGGATCAGACATGGAGTCTCCAATCCGGAAAAGGGCACCTCCACCTTGGGCCGTCCCGGTACTTCAATCCCCGGCATTCAAGAGACCAGCAGTGTTTCTACATAGCTGTCCACTAGGCGTCCTGCGGACACGAGGCAGTAGGGCTTGTACAACCGATGAAAACCATCAGTTCATAAAGAACAGCAGACGAGTCTCACAGCTTGTCGAAGGTGGATTCTCGCATCTTGACCCCAGGCATCACAACACAATCCCCCTTGCCTGCTAACTCTGCAAAAGAACCATTTACGATGGCAATCAACGGAGCAACAAATGGAGTGCCAGAAGGTGCGATAAACGGTGTGGCCCACACCGTCACAAATGGCCCCCTCAATGGAGTGACGGAGGCCGATACCAACAATGCTCATCGGGAACCTGCACCCATCGAAGCCACGGAGGCATACAAAAAATACCCCCTCGCGTACGAGTTGTCGAAGATGCCCTTCCTGTGGCCCCGTCGAATGAAAGTGATTGTCGCCGGAGCTGGCGCGAGCGCCTTGTCATTGGCACATGAAGTCCAAACTGGTGTGCTCAAGAACATTGATCTCCACATTATTGAGAAGAACCAGGGTCTCGGCGGGACATGGTTCGAGAATCAATATCCGGGATGTGCTTGCGATATACCAGCTCACGCTTACCTGTTCACCTGGGCACCGAATCCCAGATGGTCGGAGTACTATGTCACGGCGCCGGAGATTCTGAAGTACTTTGAAGAAGTGGCAAAGAAGTATCAACTTAACCAGTATATCACGCTCGGACGGAAGGTCGTGGGCGCTGAGTGGAACGACGAGAAACAGCAATGGTTCGTCCACAGCAAGCGGACAGATGGAAGAAGAACCGTTGTTTCGAGTCCTGGAATCACAGATGGTGAAGTTGGCGAGGACATCATCGAGGAGTGCGATATATTCATCAATGCTTCCGGATATTTCAATCACTGGCGTTGGCCTACAACCCCAGGCCGTGACCTCTTCCAAGGCCAACTCCTTCACAGTGCTGATTACAATCCGAAGACCGACCTCAAGGGAAAGAAGGTCGGGTTGATCGGGAACGGCAGTAGTGGTATTCAGATTACCGCCGCCATCCAAAAGGAGGTATCAGAGCTGACTGTCTTCATGCGCAATCCGACCTGGATCACGGCGAGCTTGGGCTCTAGTTTCGTTCCGGCCAATGGGGAACCATTTACGGAGGAGCAGAAAGCGTTCTGGGCCAAGAACCCTGACGAATACCTCAAGTATCGTAAGGCTGTCGAGAAGGAATTGAACGATGGCTTTCCCTTCTTCATCCATGGCACCAAAGCTCAAGCAGACGCCTTGGACTTTACGACCAAAGATATGAAGAGAAGACTCGCCAAGAAGCCCGAGCTGGCCGAGCTTCTGCTACCTACCTATCCTGTGGGATGCCGAAGACCTACACCTGGAACCGGATACCTTGAAGCACTCTGCGCTGACAATGTCGAAATTGCTTGGGGAGAATTAGACTCTTTCACGGCCAAGGGCATCAAATCCGCCGATGGCACGGAGCGGCAGTTCGACGTTATCATCTGCGCCACGGGTTTCGACATGTCGATGTGAGTTGGGGAGCACTGTTGTCCGGGCGCATGACTGACACCTCCGACAGGGTGCCCAGATGGCCAACGATTGGATTGAATGGAGTGGACCTCCAGAAGAAATGGAAGGAAGACCCCGCAGCTTATCTTTCCGCCATCGCAAACGATATGCCAAATTATTTTGTTTATATGGTATGTACCTCGTATTTCCTGTCCAAATTATCTTTGCGTGGGCCAACCTCATCTCTGGATAGGGTCCGGGTGCACCAGTGGGCCACGGCAGTCTCCTGCCCTCCATTGAGCGCGTAACCCTCTATATCGTCGACATCATCAACAAGCTCCAAACCCAAAATTACAGCTCCTTCCTCCTCAAGCCAGGCAAGGCCAAGAACTGGCAGTCGCAGATGCTGGCCTGGCTGGAGAAGACGGTCTGGGGCGACAACTGCCAGAGCTCGTTCAAGAATGGCACAGTCGACGGCAAATTGTACTCCTTCCACGGTGGCTCGCGTCTGCACTATTTTGAGTTGTTGAGGTTGCATCGCTACGAGGATTTTGAATGGAAGAGTAGGTGTCCAGAGCCGGAACTCGAATTTGCTTGGCTGGCTAGTGGGTTTCTGGAGCAGGAGTTGCACAATAAGGGAGAGGATAATGTGTGAGTTGGCCCCCTCGATCCAAGTTTCTTTTCCTTCCAGATGGCTGACCCGCTGCAGGTGGTATTTCAACCAGGAGCCAGAGGTCTTGACGTCGTTCATTGGGGAGTGAAGTTGTCAGTGAAGGATTGGGGAAGGAGGATGTGAACTCCATGAGACTAGTGGCTAGTTAGTTTAACTATCTTGAGCAGGCAAAGGTTCACTCTAGCGTCGAAGTTGATAGCATTGTAGCAATCGTAGCAAGATGGCGAACGTTACCCCAAAGTATGTCCTGCCTTTGTGCAGTGTAGAGCTCTTGTATCACGCCTGCAACTGCTCCATGTCCATCAGACCTGCCGCTTTACCAGGTGTGGCACCCCGGCCGCCGGGCTTACATAATTTTAAAGACGTTGCCAAGTCACCCATGGGTGCCAAGCTTAGACCACTACCGAGTACGTAGGGGGAACTGCCCCCTTCCGACCACAAAGGGTGGTCATTGGTACCCCCCATCGACGTTGATCACCTATCATACAATTAGCAACACCATTGCCGGACGTTGTTCAGGATGCGACCCACGTTGCCTGTGACATAACCTGCCTCCTCACTGAACAAGAACATGATCACCTTGGACACTTCCTCTGGCTGCGCAATCCGCTTGAGCGCCGTCTTCGAGAGCAGGAAGTCATACACCTCCTTCTCACTTCCCAGCGAATCGACCAACGGTGTATCGACCACTCCACTACCATCCTCCCTTGACATTAATAATCTCGAATAGGAGGACCTCGTCGGGGCTTCGGATGGACGCAACTTACGGCGCAACAGCATTCACCCGGATCCCCCTCGCTCCTCCCTCCTGGGCAGCACTCTTCGACAGCCCAATGACCCCCCACTTGCTGGCAGCATAACACGAGTTATACGCGACGCCCATCTGGCCCGCAATGCTCGCAGCATTGACGATCGATCCTCCCTCCTTGATATGATTAAACTGCGCCCTCAAGCAGTTCTTGACCCCGTTCAAGTTCGTCGTCAACATGCTATCCCAGTACGCATCGTCCATGATATCGAGCGCGTTGTCTTTGCCATGAAACCCCTGATTACCGACGTAGCCAGCCATGTTGGCCGCTCCGTGCAGGCCACCGAACCGGTCGACGACGGCCTTGACAGCCTCGTCCACGGCGTAGCGGTCTTGCACATTGCAGGCCAGCGAGATGGCCTCGCCTCCGAGCTTCTCGATTTCGGAGAGCACGTCGTCGGGTTTGCGGAGATCGAGGAGACCGACGTTCGCTCCTTGTTTGGCGAGAGCGAGGCATGTCGTCCGTCCCATGCCGCTGGCCGCGCCGGTCACGATGAAAGTCTTGCCTTTCAGGTCACTGTACGACATCTTGAAGATAAGAATTGACACTTGACAGAGTATTGCTCACGGTAGAAGCTGTAACGCCAGACTCTCCCTGAAAATCTACCCAGTATGTCTATAAGCTGGCCCTCGACAGAGCCCCGAGCTCAGCTCGCACTTCCTGCCTCCTATAGCCTTCTCCGCGTGTTGCGCACCACCGGATACATGGAAGCAAGCACCGGAAGAATACCCGCTTCTAGATTTTCATTGAGAATCCGAGAGAGATTGACGGCCTCCGCAGAGGCGTGAATCAGCTTCAGGACGGCTTATGAACAACGTCCAACGGCCGAAGAGCGGAGGTCCGGCATCTTCGTGAGTGTTCAGCCGTTGTTGTCCTCTCGTTCCGTGCGTCTTTGCCCTCCCCGTGCCGGCCCCCCTTTTCCGGGACGACCCCAGGGACATGATAGCTAACCACCACGCCTGCGAAAAGGGTCAAGACATGTGTGTTCTATGCCACTCACTACCTATAATTCCACCCCCTCATTCTGAGAAAATCCCAAAGTCCCCCCGTAATTTGTTCTTACACGAGGTTCGTTCCCTCCTGAATCTCCCATCTGGAGCAAACCCTGGTAATTGGTGGAGCCGGAGACTACACTTCCAGTCATGGCACTTTTCTATGATATTCTCGCCCTGCTGCAGAAATACTGGATCCCCTGCATCTTGGTTGGAATATTCATCAGGTTACTCCGCAATCGCTACAAGCCCGGCGTACGCGGCATTCCAGGCCCATTTCTGGCGTCGATTTCGGGTCTCTGGCTGTTCATCCACTGTGTGCAAAGGAAGTCCCAGAAAGATTATGAGCTCCATCGCCAATACGACACCCCTCTCCTTCGTCTGGCACCGAACACCATCTCTGTCGGAGACGCCGAGGCCGTCCGCATCATCTATGGGTGGAAACCCGTGTTCAAGAAGGTAAGGAACGCTCTCTCCGAGGGGTCGTATACCCCCGGACAAATACGCTGACATTTATACGGGTAGAGCCATCTGTACATCTCGCAACACCAGACGAGCCAAGCGGGCGAAGTGATTCACAACCTCTCCTCCGTCATGGACGAGGAGAAGCACGCCCACATCCGCCGTCCCGTGGCTCATGCGTATGCCATGAGTACTGTGGTGGAGTATGAGCCCCTCATCGATTCCACGTTTCGAGCGTTCGTGAAGCAGATAAATGAGCGGTTTGTGGACCCGGGAAGAGAATGTGACCTTTCACGATGGTTGCAGATGTACGCCTTTGATGTCATGTAGGTATCCCCACAACTACGACAAATCCGCTCTCTTTCTCGTCAGGTTGACCTCGTCGAAGCGGCGAAATCACGTTCAGCAAACGTCTCGGTTTCATCGACTCGGGTGAAGATATTGATCGCATGATGTATCACACCGGGCGAGCGATGGATTACATCGGCATGGTAGGTGCTCCTATTAGGGGACTCCCCTCCGATTCTTGAACAGCTTCCCTGAGAGCATCCCCCAGGTCGGCCAGATCCCCACGGTCGACGAGTGGCTTCGAATCAAAGGCCTCGGCAACATCTTCCGTAAAATCAGACCCGCAGGCAATGTGGTCATGTGGACCATGAAGCAGATCCACGCACACACTGTCCACGATGGCGTCAAGAGCCCGGACTTCCTGACCCGCTTCATCAAAGCACGCGAGAAGTACCCCGATATCATGACCGACGGGCAACTGGCCGAGTACGCAAACACCAACGTCAGCGCTGGCTCGGACACCACAGCCATTGTGCTGCGTGAGCTAGTGTATCGGCTTCTTACGCATGAGGGCAGTCATCGCCAATTCATGGAGGAGTTGAAAGCTGTCTTGAAGGCCAGGCCGGTGGATGAAACCTATGAGAAGCCGATCACCTGGACGGAAGGGAACAGTATGGTGTACTTCCAGGCTCTGATTAAAGAGTGTCTTCGGATCCACCCTGCTCTCGGGCAGCTGATTCCTCGTGTCGTGCCCGAAGGCGGTGTCGAACTGTGCGGAAAGTTCATACCGGCAGGGACCGTGGTCGGGTGCAACGCCTGGACGGTGCATCGGGATAAGAAGTTCTACGGCGAGGATGCGGATGAGTTCAGGCCCGACCGCTGGCTGGATCCGGACAAGGAGAGGGTGCGGTATATGGAGAACTTGAGCTTTGCTTTCGGTGGAGGGCCGCGAGTCTGCATCGGGAAGAACATTGCCATGTTGGAGATCACGAAGTTCATCCCGGAGTTCTTTCGGAGGTTTGAGGTCCACCTCGTGGACCCGAACCGCTACAGACTGCGCCCGGGCTGGCTCGTCGTGCAAGAAGGATTGGATGTCGATTTGCAGAGGCGGGATCCTAAGTCGTTAATTGACTGAAAACAATTGAGCTTGATTCCTGCCCATCACAGTCCTGCTGGCATTGTCGAGATCACCGTTTCCTTTCGCGTCTATTCCCTCTCTCTTTCAGTGCTAATGGATCGTGCAGCATCTGAGGAGAAGGTTGGCAACACAAGTCACTCCGGGAATCAGCGATACAGGGACTCGATGCGTAGCCCCAGTATTATCCAGCAAGACTTGACTCAAAGGGCAGCAGAGACTAGATAAGAACCAGATCAGATCAGTGCACATGCTAACCAATTAATTTTCGGGCTCTCCAAAGGGTACCAAGGTATCGTTACTGGACATACCAATACTGCCCTCAAGTACATAGGTAGTTCATTTCCAGCTCCGTTAGTCTGTCAACGTCGGCCTTTTCGAAATCAGGGAACACCGACTGAGTTTGGAAGGAATCCAGGTTCAGCAGACTCTCCATGCCTCCGAGCGTAGGATATGTTGCTGTTGTTGCTGTTGTTGCTGTTGTTGTTGTTGTTGTATGATATTGTTGAAGGGCCTGGCGAAGCCCGTATTCATCGACGGCGAGGGTCGGATCAGTGATATCCTCGCTCCCTGAGGAGCCGGAGGCCAAGGAGTTGGTGGGAAAAGCTTGACGAGACCGTCTCCGGGCCTCGCCTTGTCGCTGCGAGGATTGCTGATCGGGCATCTTCCCATCCGTGTCACCACTGGCGGCGGCGGCGAGAGGAGCAAGCTCCGAGTACCCGCAACCTTCGAGAAAGGAGGCAATGACCCTATGGACGCGTCCAGCTATGTGGAAGGAGGGCGTCAAATCGTTGAGCGCCTGCAGGCACACCGCCAGCCATTTTTTCTTCTCGGTGCCTTCCTCTTTCTCGTTTGTGTCGGTCGAGATTTGTGAGATGAGCGTTGTAGCCGCAATAAAGATCATGTGCAGCATTGACGAGTATATTTTCTCGACGCCATAGTGTTCCCTGTATGCCAAGAGCAGCTTCGAGAATCGAATTGCGTTTTCATTGCATACCTGTCTTGAGAGCGCCGGAGTATGACCTCCCAGAGACTTTCCCCCGTGTCCAGTGGTGCCTGATGAGGGGGACGTGTAGGCCGCAAACGGCCGATGAAGCATGATGATTGTGGTGTAGAACTGCATGTGGAGAGCGTAGACGCCTGGAGGAGGAGGAGGATGTTCTGATTCTGGTTTCCTTCGAATCCAGATTGGTAGAGCTTCCAACCACTGGAGCAGTCGTTGACTCATGCTGGAGAGGCGGGCAATCGTGCTCTGGTGTCTCAACACAATCGAAGATGACGGGTAGTTGACCATGTCGATGACATCGCTTAGGATCATGCAAAGATCACACCATGCAACTCGGGTCTGAAGCTGAGGGTCATCGCTCCTACTTGATGGCCGCGGCACCGTTGCATCGGCCAGCTTGACCGTACTTGGACGCCCTAGGTAAATGCTGTAGAACCTGAAATGAAGCATTAGATAGCCTGTTGTAGCCCCATCGACAAGTCCACGTACTTATCATATACATAGCAGCCCCAAAACACGTCATGACGCACTTGCAAGTCACGTTCTGAGATGTAGCCGAGTGCGAGCAAGTCGGTGCCGTCGCGGTTCAGACCGAGGTCATACAGCATTCGAAAAGCAATGCCTGGAAGTAAGACGTTTAGACCCCGACCGTGTCCAGCTCTGAAGCTCTCACGTACCCGCGTAAAGTAGACATGCCTGAAGTCAAGGTTAGATGAGGGTCTTGATGGATCTGACTGCTTTCCACGCACCTTATCATGGCCTAAGCCCGAACCACGATAATCAGCAAAGATGCACAAAGCTTGAATTGTAGATATCGTTGGGTTTTCCATCTCCAGGACGAGCTCCTCTCTCACTCTCTTCAGGTAGACTCGATCTAAATGACGGATTGAGGGATCGCTGCTCAGTCGCAAGGCGTTCAGAAGAACAGAGTATAGGAGAAGTTTGGAGAAATACTGCGTCTTCACTCCGGCAGCGTAGACAGACATGAATGGTTCTTTCAGCAGCACCTGTAGCAGGGGATCGGGGTACATGAAATAGAGATCCAAGAGATGTTTCTGCACGTCCTTGGAATCGGCCAGCTCCTCAAGAGCTTGTGTTGCTGATTCAAGCGGTTCGGGCGACGAGGGTGGGAGAATAGAGGTGATGTTCAGATTCATGATTTGTCCAGGCTCATCTCCATCAAGCTGACCCATGGCCGCATACAGCTGGCTGATCATGTAGTTCCTCGCCTCAATGGACTTCGGTGGCGCGCCACTGCGAGTGCCTTGATCGTTGGTTGACTGTACGGGGTCCAGGTCGAAAATGTCAAACTGCCAATCCATCATCTGATAGTTCGAGATGCCTGCGAAGGGGTCTTGCTCTCTGATCACGTTCGAGCAGCCACGCAAGACGTTGTCGGCGTCAGACGGGGCAGGTATGGCTTGTGTAGGCCCGTCGTCGAGCGAGACTCTGACGTCCTCAAACGTTGCATGAGTGGGATGCGGTCCAGATCCGGAAGAGCTGCCATCGTCGTCTTCCCTTGTGGGAGAAGGATTGCCCTGGCTCTCCTGCAATGCCGCAAGGCGATCTTGGAGGCGCTTTATGTAGGCTTTTGATGTTGAGCTGTGTCTGCGTTAATTCACGACCATATGGTGAGAGAACATGTGCTCCTTACTTCATCTTGCGTCGATCGTCCATGCGAAATATGCAAGGTCGACTGAGGTGCTTACACTGCAGGCACGGCTCGCCCTTCTTCTTGGGATCCCCATCGCACTGGGCGGAGAATAAGCAGAGAGCATGGACTGCACGTTGTGGGCTTACCTTGATTTTCCTCTTTCGACATGCCACACAAGCTATGGACGCCCGCCGCGGGGAGCGTTTCTTCTGTCTAGTAGTTGAGCGCGGAGGATCTGACTCTCCATGGGCTTGGGAAGCTGGTTTTGCCGGCGATCCAACAAGTGGCGACATTGATGGTTCAGTAGACATTGTGCGATGGCGACTCTATCTGGATATCAAGCGCAAAGACAAGTTAGGCTGACTGCACCGAGGGGAGCAGAGGAGAGTGCAGCAAGTACTCGGTACACAGCAGCAGTTGAAAACCAGGCGACGAGGCTTCGGGGTCCACGGTCCTCCTTCCCTTCCCCTCCCCACAACCCCGCATCGTCCTCGTGCTTTGCCTGGCACGGCGTGGCTCAAGGTACAGTACTAGTCCCCCCAACCGCCCCGACTAAAGAGCAAGTCCAAGTTGCATTTCCTATGAGGGGAAAGCTTAAGACAGAGTGTACCACAGCTACGCAACTAGTTCGCTATTGGATTGGATTGTCCGTCACGGCTCGATTCACACCGACACTGCTGTCCCTCTCCCTTCAATTGCGCGGGCAGGGTTTTGGGACCGAGGCCGCCGGAAATCGTGCTTCACTTCTTCGGATATCTCTACAGCTACTTTTCCGCTGACTCATCACGGCCAGGGATAATGGGCACCCAATCAGCTCTCGGCTGATGGGTCCCCTTCCTCTGCCGGGCCTCCTCGATGCTCCATCACGTACACGAGTAAAGCGGCCTCACTCTCTTTCCTGAACGAAAATGGCAATGGACGAAACTCGATTCGAGGCATATAATATATATATATATATATATATTTTGGTGTTCTGTCAAGAAGGATGGTATTTGGACTTTGACGATGTCTGATCTGTCCATGGTATCTGTGCAGCACCTGTCCAGAGGATGTGTGCATGGTGTCTGGACATCCGGGTACGTTCTTCCTCTCGAGTCTGGCTTGGCCGTGCAATATCTTCGAGACAGAGACAGAGACAGAAGCAAGCAAGCCCATTTTCTATTTTGGATGCCTTGCTTCATAAATCTTCCCCTGCCCCCTTGTCGATGCGTGCGTGTTGCTTTATTGGCATTCAGTCTGGTGGTCTGCGGTGGTCTGTGGTGTGGCATGTGGTATGGAAAGGGGGAGGCCCTGGACGTAAGTAAACAGTCAATCAATCAGTCCCACTTGTTGCTTGCTGCTTGCTGCATGCTGGGTACCTGGGTCATGTTAATCCAACCCTCCGTGTACCCCAACCCCGGTATCTGTATCTCTATCGATGTCTATATCCGCAGTACCTCGTACTTGTACATCTGATATAAATACCTAGACATGACGATATCATGATATCATAATCCCCGTACGCGAACGAGTACAAGTCCATACCCGGTACACGATAGGCGATAATCGAGACGAGGTACACGGTACACTCCACGTGGAAGTGGAAGCGCATGTGGATGTGGGTGTGGATGTGGGTACTACTCATTCGAGTAATTCTCTCTTCTCTTCTGGAGATCTTGGCTCGCTTTGCTCAGAGCTCAGAGCTCAGGGCCGCGGGCTTGGAGCCTGATATGTAATCTGTAGAGTAATTCGGGAAGTGGACGTCAGCCGTACGTACATACTTAGATGCAAACATACATGCGAGTGAGTGAGTGAGTACCTGGTACGAGGTACTGCACATATATATATACCCCTGCTGGCCGCTCACCAATCGGAGACCAAGCTTCCAAGATGAAACGAACGAGAGGAGCAAACGAGGCTGTACTTCGTATGCAGCCCGTCAGCAACATTGGAGGTTTGGTACCAATAACGCCCCTCACAAACCCCATGGGCAGGAATGGTCAGGCGTTCCAGACTTATGTACAGTCATCCCCCGGGTTCCGGGGAAAAACAGGGAGGGATGGACTGGCGAACATGGCCTGACCGGACCTGACCTGACCTGGGGGTTGGGTGAGGCGCTCAGTCGCGTTGTATAGATAGATCGAAGGATGGATAGATGGGTGGCTTGCTTGCTTGTTTCTTGGCTCGGTCTGGCTGGGCCACGCATTGGCGTATCTCTCGCAGTGGTCGGAATGCAGCCTGAGGTACCAAAGTCTATATATATAAGCGCTAGCTAATAGATAGATTGACCTTGACCGACAAGTCAGCTAGCTAGCTAGCTTGCTCAGCTGAAGCTGCATCTGCATTTGCCGACGATGATGGACAAGGAGTTGAATGAATGCATGAATCCCCGTAATGGCGTTTTGGCGCATGCCAGTCTGCCTGGCTTTTTCGAGGGAGGGTTGGCGAAGCAACTAAACCGTTTGTATGGATAGATGGACAGCCAGTGTGATTGGAGGTATAAATACGTGTATGTCGCAGTAAGTGCAAGACAGCAGCTGCATGCCAGTTGCCAGTAGTCTCGTACCTTGTTCACATCGTGCTGTGATGTTTCGCAAGATGTTTCTGTCCCTCCTGATGGGCCTGGTGTTTATGTGCTTCCCGTGGGTGTCTGTGGGTGCTGGTATCGGATCTCAACCGGGTATGTTCACCCTCAGGGTGCGATCTTCTGCCATCCAGCTGCTGTCGGCAACGTGATCCACATCACCAGCAGATCTAGAGCACCAGTAGCCACTAAATGGGGTGCAAGGATGGGTCACTGACCTGAAGACACAGACTTGTCCCTCTCACTCCTCCAAGCACATCAAGTCCCCCTCCGCCCGATCCAGCTGCGGACACCACCGACCTTCAACGAGACACCCTCGAAGCCATGGGATCCGATGCCACCAAACTGGTTCCTGGGGAACTGGTTCATCACGTACTCCAACCAAGAGCTCTACCAAATCTTCCGAAATTTCATCTGGACCTTGACACGGCCTTGCGCGAATGACTCGTGCTACCCGCTCCAGGCCACGCACCTGGCCACCTTGACGACCTTCCAGCTCGTAAACGACACGCAGAGACCCAACGCCACGTACATGGCATACTCGCTCGACACGGCCGTCAGTGACGCCATTGGCGGTGCCTACCACAGCGTGCCCACGGCTTCCCTCGCCGCGCAGAACAACACGTACGAAGTCATCAGCTGGGGCTACGACTCTCATGGCGACGGCTTCGTGGTCGTCTACGAGACACCCGCTGCGTCTCAGTCGGTGGCGTCGCTTGATATCTTCAGCCGAGCGCCCTCGGGCCCGACAAACAGCACCGTCGACGCCATCAAGTTTGGCATTCAGAAGCTAGGCAACCAGAGATTGATTGACTTGTTGAAGGACGTGGTCAGGACGCCGCAGGACGGAGGTAGGGATAATGGTCCGTGGCCTTCGTGTAATGCCACCTGCAGAACCAATGGTGAGTGACTCATGCTCTATTTCCTTCCAATTGCTGACATTTCGCCAGAATATTCTGTGCCGCTTTGAACACCAACCGATGGTGTCGAGGTAATCTCCATAGTCGAGAGTGGATCAGGCTGGGAGCGAGAGAGATAAAAGGTAAAGAGCTTCATGACAAAACAACAACACGGCATTTCAACAGAAGATAATCCATGTATAGCACAACCCTAAGCTCAGCAGAACGAATAAGTGGATAAGACAGAGGAGTTGATAATCTGCCAATGCTGTCTATTCTTTGGTCCCAATGACTTCGACACATGCCTATGTTGCTGTTTGAGATTTCTTCAAAGGCAGAAAGGCTCCTTGAAACAATGTCAGGGCGACAATTCCCAGTGTACCTGAACCCGAAACTCGAGCGTAGGCTGGCGTGATGTTCTTGCTGATCAACTGTTAAACCGTGCTTTGTCCGGTCGTTGCTCTCTCCTAAGAGCGATCTGCGTGCCGTCCCATCTGATATACATGGTGGAGCAGAGGGCTTACCAACTTACTCGTGCGGCTGGACCAGCAGTAGTGTGAGGTGTGCGTGATGTGCTATGCACAAGATGAAGCCACGCACCGGATAGACGAGGCGGACTCCAGGATCGCGACAGGATACATCACTGCTGGATTGCCTGTGGTCATGCAACACCTGTCACCTTGGCGATGAACTGCCTCACCAGCGTAGAAAGATCTCTTGCGTCAAATGAAAAGCAACAAGCAATTCATTCTCAGCGCCGTCAACAGAGGTGTGAAGAGAGCCCACGAATTTCTGGTCTTGGTCAAAGGCAATCATCAGCGAACATACAACCATGTCCGGGAAAAAAAGAGAAAGAGAACCACGAAGCCAACATTCTCTGGGCTTCCCACGATTTCGATCCACTTATCGAAGGTGAGTGCGTCCTTTCCGGTCATTGATGCCTTTGTCGACATGTCATAGAGCTGGAGCAACAATCTTTTCCGCTGGCAAGCAGACCTCTAGGCCAGGTCCTGAGCACAGCTGCACGACAAACAAGCCACGCACTCTTGAAACCATTGAATGGATGTGGTAAGGGACTGGCCGGACCTGGTCGTACTGAAAGTCCCGGTTCAGCCCACCTAATACTAATTGGTGCATCAGATTACCATCTCTACCTGCGCAGAGCTGGAAAGAAATCCGAAGAGCTGGTCCAGGCACTGTTCGAACTTCTGGCCAATCCCGAGGCAAACCACACGATCCAGTTCATCGTCCGCACGAACATCCAGGTGCTCCGCAAACTGCAACAAGAAGTGTGTCATGATCGATGGAAAGTCGTGAAGAAGGCAATCGATGTCATCCACTTGGATTCTGATAGCGAAGGAGAAGACGGCAAACCTCACGTTGAAACACTTTTTCAAGAAACCCTTCATACATCGGAAGAGCAGAAGAACTGGTCTGCCATTTTGGATTTTGAGATGAAGATATCAGAGATTGCTCTGCAACGGCTACGCATCGCAAACGAAGCCTCGGAGCTGGTTCGAAAAGAAAAGGCTTGGAGGGCCAGCGAGGAGGAGAGTGAGCGGTTGGAGGCTATGTTCATCGACTTCCAAAGCTGGCGAGCTATCATAATTAGGTGGGTGTTGCAGGTGAACAGGATGACTGGCAACCGCGAGTTTCTGCGGCGCCACCGGAACGAGCTTTGGGATATCGTCGTCCACAACTTGGAAGGCTGAAAGCTGGATGACGGATTTGTGTCTTTCCTTTCTGGCTATGTATGTCAGGTCAGAGCATGGCCAGGAGAATGGCGATGGTTGTGAAGCCATAATGTCTCGTATTGAAAAATGGTTTCTTGGATGCGTGGAAAGACAAAAGACTCCGCATAGTCAGGGGCCTGATAAGACTAGGTAGAGTTCAAGGTTAGCGATCGCATGGTAAGCTAACTGAGTTTCCAAGAAACCAAGACTTACCAATAGAGCATTGAAAAAGAAAAGAGTATGTGGAGAATGCGAGGAGCAAAGGGGGAAATATCAGATTCCAGCTCGGCAAAGTGACTTTTTGTGACGATGTTCCTGGTTGTCCATGGTTCTCCATGATTCAGGAGTTGCAGTTAGTGGTTCTATGACTCTACCAGGACATATCTTCTTCATCGCGACTCTTGAGTTGTTGCAGGTAATTTAGGTTGACTGTTAGCTGATCTAAAAGGGAATATTTCTTCCACTGCCGATGTGTATCTGACACACGGAGATTGAGGAAGAAATTGCTCCATAAGGAGCTCATATCGCAGTTGACTTTCGACCAGCGAAACCCAGCACCTAACTGCACGATACCGAGAGGAATGGCGACGCAATACCATCATTCGCGATAGTGTCTATTGAAGAGGATCAGCATGAAACTAGCTCACGATGCATGGCCGAGGCCTGGGATTTCCGATAAGCATCATGTCGCACAATGCTTAACACATCTTGATTCTGTGGTGATCCCACAGGAAAAGAGGCTGCAGGTGCTTTACTTGTAAGCGTCGACTTTTCTCCTAATCAGCTTTGTCTTGTGCAGGTAGATGTCTTTGCATGACCAAACCCCGGGAGCAATCGGCGGCGGAGTCCATCGGATCTTGGAAGCAGCAACCTGTGGGCCTACCACTTCTACCACTATCACGCTGCCGACGACCTCCGCCAGGTCATACCGCCGGGACCCCCTCCACTTCAAAAACCATAACACCCACACACAAGTTCACACCGACCACACAAAA